CATTGTCCGATTTGTGATGTCCAAAGCAATGGACATCCCCATGTGCTGCACCGTGTTCTTGGACCAAACCAAGAAGTTAGTTATTTTGATTGGCTGAGGAGTTTGAGATGTGTTCATTGTAGAATGAATATCCGAGATGATGATTGGCTTGGATTTTCTTTACCATGCATTAGGCATGTCGTCCACTGGGATTGTTATAATTCCGCTTTCAACCAGCACTTTGCCGGTCATAATATCGTCAACCCTATTGATTGTATCCGCATTCGTTACTCTAACTGCCGTACTTGTCACAGCCGCATCAGAGACGTTATTGGTATGACTTTAACTCCATTCCCTAATAATATACCTATTCCGGTGGAACAGAGAACTACTGCGGGAATTAATTTTAACTATGGGGGGCTGATCAACAAATGGTCGTGTTGCGAATACCCACTCGTTGAGGGTGGGGCTGATGATGACCAATTAAACGACATTGTTATTCTTCGCCCATGCTGGCACCCATTACACGCCAGATGTTATTTTCGCAGTTTGCTGGGGGAGAATGGTGAATTTCAACAAGTAGATTGTCCGATTTGTTCCGTACCATCCTTTGGAGTACAAAATGTTCTTCACGATATTGTTCATATGTGGCAACTAGAGTAGGTTTAAGGAGTTTGGGGTAATTGTAATGAGAGTTTTGTTTTTGTTTTGCGAAAAGTGATATGGTTAGTTTGTTTGGGAGGGGTATTGTATAGTGTTGAGAAAGCTTGAACTTTGTAGCCAATATAGTGACTAATCTGAACAAAATTTCACAAGGCCAGTTATGCAATTCTAGAAAAGTTACTATTGATCTATATTTTCCAACAAGGAAGGTAGATGAATTTTATTATATTAGTTTATATCATTTCCCTTATTATCATAGTTAGTTATCTATATGTAGCTGATAATAAAACGGAGAATTTAGAGAGCCATTTTTTTTGGCAGTAACTAATAATATGTTTTTCTTCTGCGATTGTTAGATTAATCTGTTAATAAATTTTGGTGGAAAATGACCATAGTTGCACTTGATAATGGAGTAGTCTGAACCGTTTGTGCTTTTTGGTTAATGACTTTGAGCCATAGGTATTTTGGTTATTCTGTGGTAAAGACTACATACAACTCTCATGTGGTTGATAAATTGGTTATGTTTCTATACATGATTAAGTTCACAGAAGAGCTCCCTCTTATAGATCTATAAAATAACTTTAATTGTTCATAGGAACTCAAGTCTACCATATTCAAAGTAAGTATTATTCCTAGGTTTCTAGGATATTAGCATTGTAAATATTTTTTTCTATAGGAGATGGAATTACTTTGATAGTTTATAAGATTTTTTATTTCACTAATTACTACTATTTTAGATACGTTGTGGTACGGGTATATGTCTGGAGTGATATAAGAAATTGTTCAACTGCACAAAGAAAGACGATCTTGTTACAAGGAAATGGCCTTAGAAGGTAACAACTTGATCAAAGCAGAGGTGTGTACCTCTTGCATGGAAGCATTAAGAGTTGAATATGATATCGTTGGCCCAGACGAGGACACGCACACAAGTACTTTTTTCTTTCTCACCTCCCACTTTTTCCTCCTTATAAGTATTTATCAGGGGAAATATGCAGGTTGCAAAAAAAAATGTTTCTTTGTTGCTTCTTATTATTCTTTACTGGAAATGAATTTCTCATAAACTAAGTTGATCAATTTAATTTTCCTTTATTCACTGCCCATAGGTCCCTCGAGTTGTTGGAAATGAAACTGATTCGGCAAAATATAGAAATGAGAAACGAAAATGGAAAGAGAGCAAGAGAGAGACAATAGTACACGATGCTGACACTTCTAATTGTTATGATATTGTTTGTGATTTTAATTATATTTGCTCCTGTCATGTAAGCACAACTCATGAGCTATAATCTTTATGTATATGTGTCTATATATATATAGGCAAAATACCTTAAACCACCCTTAAATTTGGCTCAGATTATTAGTACTCTCCCCGAACTATGCTCGGTCTTAATTACTCCCCTCAACTTGGCCTTTTGAGGGTCATTACCCCCCTAGACGCTGATGTGGCAAAACGTGCGGGTGCACTCGCCTGGCACGTGAATTTTTTCTGTCTATGTGGCATTTTTTTGAACAATAAAATATTTTTTTATCTTTTTAACAATATTAATTTTTTAGATAATTTTTTTCGAATAAAATTTATAATGAAACTTGGATATAACTACATTATTTAGGCTAAATATTTTTATTTGGCGAAAAATAATAAAGTTTTAGTTAATCTTTTTTTTTGCATTTGACCTGAAAATAAAGATTTAAATAAATAGTCAAGTTATCTAAAAAGTTATAAAAAATACATAGCTGAAATAAATAGTCATTGCATCAAAAGAAGAAATAAAAAGAGTGTACAATGCACTTGTAATTTCTTACAATTGTTCACTCTTTTTATTTCTTCTTTTGATGCAATGACTATTTATTTCAACTGTGTATTTTTACCTTTTCAGGTAAAATCTGTAAAAAAATAAAAATAAATTAGAACACCGTAATTTAGAGCTATATAAAAAATTATAAACAAATAATTAATTTCAAACTGTGTATTTTTAATAAATTTTAGATGCCTTGACTATTTATTTCAATTGTATAAATCTTTATTTTCAGTCAAATTTAAAAAAAAAATTAACTAAAACTTTATTATTTTTGGCCAAATAAAAATATTTAGCCTAAATAATGTAGTTAAATCCAAGTTTTATTATAAATTTTATTCGAAACAAATTATCTAAAAAAGTGATATTCTTAAAAAGGTAAAAAAATATTTTATTTTTTAAAAAAATGCCACATAGACAGAAAAATCCACGTGGCAGGCGAGTGCACCCACACTTTTTGCCACATCACCGTTTAGGGGGGATAATGGCCCTCAAAAGGTCAAGTTGAGGAGGGTAATTTAGACTGGGCATAGTTCGGGGAGGATACTAATAATTTGAGCCAAATTTAGGGGCGATTTAAGATATTTTGCCTATATATATAAAAAAATTTGTGTCTCATTAGCTAAACTTTCATGAATTTTCGACACAATCACTAGGAGTGTGAGCACGTGATTTAATTGTTCCCAAAAATTCAAACAAAATGATTTTCTTTCGTTATTTTACAATTTTGTGAATTTTCTGTTATTGTCTGTTAATTGTTTGCATTTTATTTGTGCATTTTATTTTATATGAAAAGTATAAAAACTAAATTTGGCATGTGCATGTAGGGTTTAAGTTTACATTTTAGGATTGATTATAAAATTAATTGTTTCATAAAAGAGAAAATAAAAAGTATAGTGTGGTCTGCATTTTAAAATTTTTGATTTTTAATTTCTTGAATAGTTTTGGGTTTAATTAGGTTTTCTTTAACTTTAGGAATTAATCTAGATTTTTATTCGGGCAGAATTAAAAGAAATTAAAATAAAAAAAGAGAGGAAAAAAGAAAAAAATAACAAAAATGGTCTTTTGTATTTTTAGTTTAAATTTGTTTTAGTTTGTGTTTACATTAGGAGTTAGTGTAATGGAAAATTAGGAAATATAATTTTAGGTGGTAATTTGGTTGTTGATTTTTAATTTAGCATTTAAATAAAAATCAGAAATATAAAATCAAAATAAAAAAGGGAAAAAGAAAAGAAAATCGTTGAAATAGATGTTAAAAGGAAAGGCTGTTTCATTGAAAAGGGTTTAATTGGGCTATTTTATTAATAGAGTTTAGGCCAAATGTGCTCCCAGTCCACAACCCAATCCAATCTCCATCCGGTCCGGTTTTCGTAAAAATGGCGTGTAATAGCCACTAATTAAGGGTGTCTTTCATTTTTATCCACTAATTATAATGCTCAGCAAAAATAGCCACTACTAATAGAAAAAAGACAATTTTACCCTTTCTTCCTCTCTTTCGCGTTGCATTTTCATCTGGAATACCCAAGGTGATTTCACGGTCGGCCTCCTCCATGCTTGGTCAATAGCATCGGGTCTATTAGTAGCCCCAATTACTAGGACATAACCAGGTCCATCACGAGATCCTTCTGATTTTGCTTCACTATTTCTTTTACCAATACGTACAGTAGGTCCTTTTGCATCATCAAAATTTTCAAGTTCTGAATTTTTGAGCAGATGTCTCAATTACGTACAGTAATTTCTTTCTTCTTACCTTGTTTTTGTTTCTTTTGAGTTCAAAGATTAAAAGTTAAGGACATGAGTCTTTAAGTTTGACATGCAGGTTTAAAAATTAAGGACATGCAGTCCTTAAGTTTGACATGCAGGTTCAAAAGATAAGGACAGACAGTCCTTAACTTATAGTTTCAAGTTCAAAACTTAAGGACATGCAGTCCTTAAGTTATTGTTTCAAGTTCAAAACTTAAGGACTGTCTGTCCTTAACTTTGAGTTTAAAGTTCAAAAGTTAAGGACAGGCAGTCGTTAACTTACAGTTACACGTTCAAAAGTTAAGGACAAGCAGTACTTAACTTACAGTTACAAGTTCAAAAGTTAAGGACAATAGGTCCTTAACTTTGACTTACAAGTTCAAAAGTTAAGGACGCTTGGTCTTGAAGTTTGAGTTCCAAGTTCAAAAGTTAAGGACATGTAACCTTGAAGTCCTGAACTTAGAGTTCCAAGTTCAAAAGTTAAGGACATGTAGTCCTGAAGTCCTGAACTTAGAGTTTCAAGTTCAAAAGTTAAGGACATGTAGTCCTGAAGTCCTTAAGTTAAGGACATGAGCAGAAGGGTATTTTCGTCTGAGCAGTTAAAGTTTATTAAACCAGTGGCTAAAGACTAAAGACATTTAAAACATTGGCTTTAAAATAAAGGCATGAGCGGTTAGTGGCTATCTGTGCAGATCGCCCCCGGTTTTCCCCCTTAATAAACGACCCCGTTTGGATGTCATTCAATCCTGGCCGTCAAGGTCAGTTGATCCAACGGCCAAGAACTGAGGGTTACATAATATAAGAGTGTCGGATTACCCTACCCCCCGTTTCATCGTCTCCATTCACCCCATGCAACGCCGCCGTGAGCCGCCGGCCGAAAATCGCCTCCGCCGGCGGTGATGCTCCTTTCCCGTCCAAAAATACACCCTAGAACCCTCTTTCTCTCCTCTTTCCAACCCCCAACATAATTTCACTCAAATCCCGGCCAAACGTTTCGAATCTTCAATCGAAAGTCTCCGGCCAAAACGTCACCCTTCCCAAACTCAACCAAATTTACACCATAGAACCGCTGTGATCTCCTCTCTCAAACCCCCCAAACCCCGTCCCTCGAATCTAACCCAAACTGTTCGAATATTGATTTGAAAGTTCCGGCCAAACCCTAAAGTCCTCCAAATCCCACTAAATTGACACCCCTCACCCTCCTCGCTTCCCTCATGAGGAATTCAATGTCAGTAGAGCTCAAGTCAGCGAGTTGTGAGTTGGCCGGATTTCTGGAGTCATGTTAGTGAGTTGTGAGTTTTTTTTTCTTTTCTTTGTTTAACTCTTTGCTTTTGCTGTTATTCTCTTCCTTGTTAATTTCTAGTCTAATGTGTGTTTTAAATTCTGTTAATTTTTGTTCTAATTTTGTGCTTAATTGTTTGTTTGCTTAGATTGTAGTTAGTTTGTTTTAATTCTGGCTTGATTATTAATATGATCTTATCAGATTAGGATTCACTAGGTATTGATATTCTATCCCCGTAATTGTCATTTGGTTTAGTTTGATTCTTGTTTAATCCTGTTTTAATATTGGCCTTAGTCAAAACTAATAGGTTTCCACAGTCATTTATTTTCCCTTTTACTTTTACTTTTATTTTTCTAATTCTGATTTTTGTTCAAGTCAGGGTTCAATTAGTTTTGTTTTTGATTAGTCATGTTCTAGTGATTTAGTCTAAATCTTTGCTCTGATTAGTAATTCTTGGTGGCGAGTAGTGAAAATCAATAAATTGAGTTATTTGGTTATAGCTGATTTGGTTTGGTCAATTAATCACGGTCTAATTAAAAGATAGTTTAGTTGTGATTGATTCAAGTAGGTAATTTTAGGGATATTCAAGGGCAATTTAGGCATTCCTAATAAGATAGAATGTTGTAGGATAGAATAGGACCATCTAGAATCTTCTACAATAGGGCCTTAGTGTAGATTCAAGTAATTTTAATGTAGGGGATTGAGTAACAAGTCAGAAAATGAAGGTTTAAGTGGGAAAAACTGAAAATTAAAGGAAGGGCTAATTTGTAAAGTCTAAAATCTGATAGAACCCCATTTGTGCCTATAAAAGGGCATGTTCAATGCTTTCATTCCCAAGTTTTGATCTCTAAAATTCCCCCCAAAAATACTCCTCTAGCCTCACAGATCTGAAATTCAAAATTTCAGATCCAAAACCCCTTTAGCTTAGCTTTCTTCAAAGGAAAAAACAAAAATAATAGAAAACCTTCAAAAATCCAAAAAAAAAAAGTACTGTTCCATTAGATAATTCAGGTTAATTTTGACTTTTAGTTGTTGATCTCCATTCTTCTAGTTCAATACTTGGATTTTGAAACTTCAAATGTTCTCTTGTTTGATTTCGAGCAATTTTGGGTCTGTTTAAACTGGTTTTGGATGAGTTTTGGATTTGCTGAAGTATTCTGGTGCATTTCGAGCTTATTTGAGTGCATTTCAAGTGGTCTTTGGGTTGATTTGTTAGTTTCTGTCTGATTTTTGAATATTTCTGGATTTCTGAATCCATTCCTGGGCTGCTCGTCGTTCTATACTGCTGGAAATTGTTATTGTTGTTGCTGCTCGTCTATTTGCCTTAGCTTGACCTCTTCTCCTTCACTTTTTATTCGAATTCCATGTACAAACTCGAGACTGATTTAATGTAATTCCTTCATGAAATGGAAATGCAGTTGCTGTTGATCTTCATTGAAGCTTTCACTGTTTTATTAGTTAATTGCATTACAACTAGTTCTAGAATTTTTGGATGAATTCATTGTTTTAGCTTATTTGTAGTAGACTGTTTGGACTGTTAATGTGTAATGGACTGACTGGACTATTAGAATAGCAATTATTCATTAGCCTTCTTAGTTTAGTTTCAATTTGTAGCGTAATTTTGAAATCAGAATCTAGCTAGAACATAAAAGTGATTTTGGAAGCCACGAGCCTTATTTGTACTAATAACTGGAAACTGATTATGATTGGTGTTCATATTATTGTGTGTTAATTCGAATCAGGAACCAAAATAGTTGAGATGCAATTGTGTCCAAATGTTCCAATCACCTCGAATTTGTTCTTAAGCCTTATTAATTGATGAACTGTTAGAGGTCAGTTATGTCCAAATTAACAATTGTTTTGGAAATCGAATTAGGACTAATAAGTAGTTTATTGGTAGTTTAAATTGATGATCATCACCATTTAGTCTTAAATACCTTAGTTGACTCGTTAATGGTAATACATGCTCCATTAGTGTCACGTTTTGCTAGAATTAGTTTATCAGCTTTCTCTGAGTTTGTTTAACTGTGAATATTGTTTGAATCTTGACTCACATTGGTTGAAATTGAAAGTTTGGGCCAACAATGGCCTGCTGAAAGTAGCTGAGCCCTCTTCCCTTTTAGTTTAATTGATTTGAGGCCTCAAATACCATAATGGGAGGTTTGGACCCAAGAACAATATCAGAGGACCAAACTTGGACAAACTCGAAGGCCACACTCGCTTGTTGCCTAGACCAAATGCAGAAGCCCAAAAATGTTGAAGGTCTGAACCATGTGGAAGCCTGGGACCTTAAAAAAAATAGCAGCTTAAATAATACTAATCAATTAGAAATTTTATTTTATTATTAGAGACAAATAAAGTAGAGAATCATAGTTGCTTTTAGGTTTGCCCTTTAAATAATAAATGAGATGAGCCTCGTCAAATAAAATACATAAATTGCGGGGCCCTCAATAAATATTTGTGATAAAAACCTTAGAATTCGGGATGGGCCGTTTAGCAAATTTCACGGCCTTCCTCAAAGATAATAACGCGTTAGTCTCTTTAGGCACGTATTTTAATAATTTACCTTCCTAAACTCGGGTGCACATTTATGTGACCCAAATCCAAATCTCAACGAAATCGAAATATGTCAACAACCACGGGTGCATTGATGTGACGTGGTTCGAGACACGTTTTCACGACGTTGCAATTCTCGTTAAAAAATAATAATAAAATCGGTTTACTGTTAAAAAACACATAAGCCAAAACATGTTTTGAAATCAGATAAATATTCCAAATATAACAGTTGAGCGACTGTGCTAGAACCACGGAATCCGGGAATGCCTAATACCTTCTCACGGGTTAACAGAATTCCTTACTCGGATTTTTGGTTCGTGGACTGTTAACAGAGTCATATTTTCCTCGGTTCGGGATTCAACCGGTGACTTGGGACACCACTAATCTCCCAAGTGGCGACTCTGAAATCTTAATAATAAATACCGTTCCGATTGTCCTTTAATTGGAAATATTCCTTTATACCCTTGCGGGTGTAGTGAAAAAGGATGTGTGACAAGGGGAAGAAGCGTCTAATGTTTGTTTATAGATAACCCATGATGTCTCTGAAGCTAAGAATCTCATTAGTCAGATAAGCTTATTAAAGGAGAAAAAGAAAGTAATCTTATTAGAAGGTATGTATGCGTCAATTTGGTGAAGAAGTATGCATAACGATATTACATTTGCTTGTCCAGTTCTTGTGGACAACTTCTCAAAGAGACTTTCCCTTCAGAAGATCTTGAAGCACCTTTGGATAGTCAAGAATGCTGATTCAAATGTAGACCTCTGAGTGACATTTCTGGCTGCTCTCTCCTTGTGTCTTTTGACCAATTTGCACCAGTTGATTTTCAATATAACACAAAATTTGACAGGAGATCCATGATACAATAGTTGACATTATATCTGGAAGGTTTAAGCTATTTTTAACCAAAAGTGTGGTAGTTAAAAGCATCTCTATGTATCATGTTTTACACACTCAGAAGCAAAGCTTTGATATTTTCATTAGTAGGCAAGTATTTACTGATATTCTTTTAGTGCTAGGTTAACAGTAGTAAATGACAGCCATTTTGAGAATCTTACCTTCTGCGAAACTAATTTAAAGCACACATGTCATATTAGAAGCATATGATAGATCAAAGCAGAATGAACTTTTTTCGTCACATGACTGAGTTTGTTGATTAGAAAATCAACTTTTTAAGGAATGAATACATATAAGCTTGTGCTAAATCTGAACCTCTAGCTTATAGATAAAGCATTAATTATCAATTGTGATATGTGAAATGATTTATATAGTACTTGTATTTATACTCGAAGATTTTTTGGAAGCAAAATTTTGGTCTCTGTTGTTCTTCACTGTTCGCCCCATCAATTTGGCAAATGTCTATTACAGTATTATTTTTTTATCTCTCTTCTTTGTTTGTGATATACGCACTAACAATTGATCATTACTTCATAATTGTATAGGTATTTCTTGTAAAAACTGCTAACAAAAAGGCTAATAAGAAGACTAAGGTGAGCAAGAGAAACACATCATCGGTTGTCAAAATGTGACACTTCACATGCGATAGTATGCCGCCATGAATGTAAAGAGTGTATTATTTGCCAATTCTCATAATATCCATGAGTGGATATTTTGTTCCAATTTACATAAAAATAGTATCTAGCATGTGATATTATCTCTCTGATCTGACACTGGCTTACGTGCATCAATTTTTACTACCTATAACTTTATATCAGAGCAAAGCGAAAAATAATAGTTGTAAATTTTATCGTATTGGGCCGTGCTGGCACGAGCTATTTCTACCTAGTCTTATATATATTGGAAGCTGAAATAGTGATTAATTTTTTCACATTATTTGCAGGCTATAACAAATAATGCATTTTTGTTTGTCTCAGTAGCAGGTATTGGAAGGCAGAACTACTAAAAAGAACAAAGAAAATGCAAATGGAGAATTTAAGGCTTACAAGCCTTCAAAAGTTTCTATGGGTTTGAACAAGAAAAGCTCACACGCTGATTAGATAAATGGTGAGGTCAAGCTTACAGAAATGGATCGGTTACAAAAGCAGGAGATGATGTGAAAGGTGTTAAATTAGCCATGTATTAGAAAAGAAACTTGTAGCTGGGGGTACTTCAAATGGGGTTTCTAATAGATACCAACTTAAATTGATTAACGTGTAGAGTGTTATCATGATACAACAATTTTTTTCTACTTTATTGTTAGGTTGCACCTTTGAACAATTGGTTTTACTAGTTAATGTAGTACATAATATAAGTACATAAAAATGTTGCCTAAATTCAAAAAGTATGGCTTTTTCTCTTTTAATGGACACAACTTCCTAAATTAGCGTCGAACACTAATGAAGAGAACTCTTGAATTTCACATTAGTAATTAGCTATGGCTTTCTATTGCTACGTGCATATATGATATTAAAGCACTATGTTTCATTTTTGGAAAACATATCTTACACTTCTTTTTCGAAATTTTTTATATGTCTTACTTGTTGCAAATTTAACACGTCCATGCATGTTTCTGTCAAACAATATCGAATTGTACATTATGCATGTGTATAAAACTAATATATATATGTCACGACCCAAATCCCGATCGTGATGGCGCCCAACACACTACTAGGCAAGCCCGACCATTATTCAACACTTAACCCAATTTATCAAAAATAACGGATGGACATATCAATTAATTCAAGATCAAAGTACTGAAGAGTTTAACAAAATACACAACATAATCTCACTAGGACCCGGCGTCACGAATCTGAGCCTCTAGAGTACAGAATATCATCCTAATACATAGTGTATCCAAAGTCTAATAATGCGGAAATAAAAAAAAAGATAGGATAGGAGGGAAGAAATCAATGCTGCGAACGTCGTACAGCTACCTTGATACTCCCCAAAATGCTGGATCCGTTGATCAACTGGATCTACTGTGCCTTAGACTGCCCTGGATCTGCACACAAGGTGCAGAGAGTAAAGTGAGTACTCTGACCCAANGCATCAAGCCCAGTAATATCAATGAAGTATGTGTACCAATCACCAGTATAGTATAAACATCACATGGGATGGACCAAGTCACAATCCCCAATAGTATCAGACCCCGCACTCACCATGGAGTGCGTGTCACGCCTCAATATAGCGTTACGATGTGAAAGTCCGGGGTTTCAAACCCTCAGAACAGCATTTACATCTATTACTCACCTCTAACCGGCCGTAGACTAGTCTGCAATGCCCTTTCCTCTTGAATCGACCTCTTCGTGCGTCGAATCTAGTCAAAATCACAACAAATACGTTACAATAGTCTAAGGGAATATAACCCAATTGAAAAGACTTGAAAAATGTCGAAAATCCCGAAATTAGCAAAACCCGAGCCCCGGGCCCACGTCTCAAAATTCAGAAATTTTTACATCAATACGACCCTTATCTCGCCACGAGTCTATACATACCACATTCACAAAAATCGGAGTTTATTTGACCCCTCAAATCACTATTTAATTCTCTTAAGTTTCAAGCCCTAAACCACCATTTTTGTCCATAATTTACTTGAGTTTTCAGCTCTAATCCATGTATTTAACTTGGAAATAAGTAGAAACAACTCACCTTTGATGCTTGATGAAATCCCCCTTGAAATTCTCTCCAAAATAATCCAAGCCAAATGAAAGAAATGAAAGAAATAAGCCAAATCCGTGTTTAAAAGAATCTGCCCGTGCTTCGTCGAGTTGTACCTTGCACTTGTGCTATACAAGTTGTACATCCTATTAAAAATTTTCCTTGTCGGACACCTTCTGTTTAAACACCCATAACGTCTTGTATAAGTATCCAAATGACAAACGGATTGAAGATTTAGAAACTAGACTCGAAGATCTTTAATTTGATAGGTTGTACACCATATAACTCTTTATATATCCCGAGATATGAGCTTCTAAAGTAGGCTCCCCGAATCAGAAAATTCTGGAGAACGAGCTCCACCAGTCATATTCAATCGACTGTAACATTCTCTACAGATGTCCAAATTACGATTTCTTTAGTTTTCTGGAAACTAGATATAAAGGGATACAACTTTCGTTTTTAAACCATCCCAAAATTCCCTGTGAATCAAAAGATATAGGCCTCCGAAGTACGTTCCACGATTGCAGTCCAAAGACCTGCAGAAAATTGCAGCAGAAATTTCTGCAGCTTTTTCTTTTCTTTTTGGTCCGAATTTCATTCCGTTAACCTTCCGAAATCCACCCGAGGCCCTCGGGACCTTAACCAATTATATCAACATGTCCCACAATATCATTCAAACTTGTCCCAACCTTCAAAACACCCAAAATAACATCAAAACATCAAATCCTCATCGGATTCAAGCCTATGAATCTCACGAACTTCCAAATTCCATTTTTGATCAAAAACCCAACCAAACCAGGTCTAAATGACCTCAAATTTTGCAGACAAGTTCAAAATGACATAACGAAGCTACAACAACTCTCGGAATTCCATTCCGACCCTCGGATCAAAATCTCACCTATCAACCAGAATTCGCCAAAATACTAACTTTGCCAATTCAAGCTTAATTCTACACCGGTCATCACAAAAATATTTCGGACACACTCCTAAGTCCCAAATCACCTAACGAATCTATCCGAACCATAAAATTCGTATTTCGAGCTCTCTAACATATAAGTCAATATTCGGTTAACTTTTCTAACTTAAGCTTCCTTAAAAGATACTAAGTGTCTCAAACCTTACCAAAATCATTCCGGAATGACTTCAAATTTTGCACACAAGTCACATTCGACATTACGGACTTGCCCCAACTTTCGGATTCGCATTCCGACTCCGATATCAAAATTTTCCCTTCCGGTCGAATTTTTCTCAAAAACCTTCAAATTTCTATACTTAGCCAAATGACTTCAAAATTACCTCCGGACATCCGAATTCACTTCCGATCGCGCTACCAATCCTTAAATCATCCACCGAAACTAACCGAATCATCGAAAATAAATTCCGAGACCTCTAACTCACAAGTCATCTTCCGGTTGACTTTTCCAAACTAATTCTTCATTAAAAAGACTATTTGTCCCAATTTCTACCAAACTCGATCCGAATTGACTCAAATTCACCAAGTACACATATTGAAGCATGAATAAGCATATAACGGGGAATACGGGACGGAATTACAGGAGACGACGGGTCGGGTCGTCACATTCTCCCCAACTAAAACAAACGCTCGTCCTCGAGCGAGTTAAGAAACATACCTGGAGTTTCAAATAGGTGTGGGTATCTGCTCCGCATCTCTTGCTCGGTCTCCCAAGTAGCCTCCTTCACGGGCCGATCTCTCCACTGTACTTTCATTGATGCTATATCTTTCGACCTCAATTTTCGAACCTGTCGACCCAAAATAGCCATTGGCTCCACATCATAAGTTAAATCTTCCCCTAGTTGTACTGTACTGAAATCCAATATATGAGATGGGTCCCCAACATACCTTCGGAGCATAGAAACATGGAATATCGGGTGAACACCCGACAAACTAGGTGGCAAGGCAAGCATATAGGCCATCTCTCCAACCTTCCTAAGTATTTCAAAAGGTCCAATAAATCGCGGACTTAGCTTTCCTTTCTTTCCAAATCTCATAACACCCTTCATGGGTGAAACCTTCAGCAAAACCTTCTCACCCGCCATGAATGACACATCCCGGACCTTCCGGTCCATATAACTCTTCTGACGCGACTGAGTTGTGTGAAGTCTTTCCTGAATCACCTTCACCATTTCTAAGGCATCCTGGACCCAATCCATCCCCAACAACCTAGCCTCGCCGGGCTCGAACCAACCAACTGGAGATCTACACCGCCTCCCATATAAAGCCTCATACGGTGCCATGTGAATACTGGACTGATAGATGTTGTTGTAGGCAAACTTTGAAAGTGGTAAAAATTCAACCCAAGAACCTCCAAAATCAATCACACAAGCACGCAACATATCCTCCAATATCTGAATAGTACGCTCGGACTGTCCGTCTGTCTGAGGATGAAATGTTGAACTCAGCTCTACCTGAGTACCCAACTCGTGATGAAATGTCCTCCAAAACTGAGAAGTGAACTGAGTACCTCTATCCGAAACGATGGAAACTGGAACACCATGCAATCGCACAATCTCCTGAATAAAGATTCTCGCCAGCCGCTCCGAGGAGTATGTAGTACATACTGGA